TGTCTGTCATGGTCGGCCTCGCTGCGTTCAGGACAAAGAAAAAACACAAATCAGCATTTGACCTAAAGGTGGAGGAAAGAAGGTTTTCAGCCTCTGTGCTCAGCATGAACACATCCATCATCACTGAGAACTGAAATCTGAATGTCTGGTTTCAGGCAGGTAAAAAAGCTCATTCAATCCCATTTAGCTGTAAGATTTACAAAAAATAATGAAGGACTGGTACATCACAAGTTCTCTAATGATGACCTTCTGACTTCTGAGGAGCTGTGAAGGCATCATCAGCTAAAGTTGAAGCCAGGAAGAGAGGAGGAGAAAGCTCAGAGCACACTGAGCCACATGTTTTCAGTTCAGTTTGTTTTTTGGGAGATTTTCAATTAGTGGTAAATTCACATCAAATTACACTAAAAAGCTGCTATTTTTTTTTACAATGTTCCTCTGACCACAGAGAGCTCTAATGTGTGTTTTATCATCATTTAACCCTATAATGCCATATGTGTCATATTTGATACAAACGGTTTCTGAAGTCTTTTGGATCTGAGACTTTTTGCGTCATTCAGTGGTAATAGCTTTGTTGTACACATTCAGATATACAGCCAGTAGAAGAATACACCAAAATGTATTTTTGACTTATTGCACGCTAGTTTGATCAAAATAATGTCTGTTTTTTTTCTTCATATGTTTTTGAGGGGCCAAAGAAAGACTTCAGACTAAAAAAAAAGTCCAATACTCTTCCTATTTTCCTTGGATGGGGCTTTAGACGCTCACCATCTCCTGCCGGCGCTCATGTCCACGGGCTCGTCCAGGATGTTCTCCTTGCCGTTCTTATTCGGCCCGCCGTGGGCGCTGTGGCCCCCGAACCTCAGGCTGCCGTTCAGCTTCTCCTCGTAGGCGGCGCCCATCAGGCTCTGGTGGTGCTGCAGGCTGCTGACCCCGGGGCCCTTGGCCTCGCCCAGGCCCCCGGGGGCCTCCAGGGCCGCCAGGTCGGCCAGGTCCTTCCGCTTCAGCAGCGCCAGCATCTTGAGGCGCTCCATGGCCTCGTGGCCCTCCATCTTCAGGCGCTTGGCCAGGGCCTCCTCGCGCTCGCTGGGGGACTCCAGGCCTCGCTTCAGCAGGTTTAACCGCAGCGCCTCGTCGGACATCCGCTCCATCCTGAGGGACA